TCTACCCACTTAGTAACGTAATCAATAGCAACTAAAATATGTGTATACCCATTAGAGGAAGGAAATGGTCCCATATAATCAAAGCCCCAAACATCAAATGGTTCAATGACAAGTGAATAATTCATAGGCATTTCTTGACGTCTACTAATATTACCAATTCTTTGACATTCATCACAAGACAAACTTACGGGCATCCTTGAAGAGAGTAGGCCAATAAAAACCGGATTGCAATACCTTATGTGCAGTTCTGTCTCCAGCATGGTGCCCTCCATAAGCCTCAGAGTGACACTTGCGTAGGATCTGTTCCTATTCATGCTCAGGTACATAACGTCTAATAACACCATCTACTCCTTCTTTATAAAGATGTGGGTCATCCCAAAAGTAATGCCTTAAATCATAGAAGAACTTTTTCTTTTGCTGGTATGTGAAACTAGGTGGTATAAATTTACCAACAATGTAATTAGCATAATCAGCATACCATGGAGCAGTACGAGAAGCATTTATGACATTTAATTGTTCATCAGGAAAGCTATCATCAATAGGTAGTGGGTCATCAAGAACATTCTCTAACCTAGACAAGTTGTCTGCAACGGGGTTCTCAGCTCCCTCTCTATCAATAATATGTAAATCAAATTCTTGTAGCAAGAGAACCCATCTAATAAGTCTAGGTTTAGCATCTTTCTTTTCCATAAGGTATTTAATAGCAGCATGATCAGTATGAATAGTTACTTTAGAATCAACAATATAAGGTCTGAACTTATCACAAGCAAAAACAACTGGTAGGAATTCTTTTTCAGTAGTAGCATAATTTCTCTGGGCATTGTCTAAAGTTTTACTAGCATATTGAATAACATTTAATTTCTTATCAACTCTTTGCCCAAGAACAGCACCTACAGCATGATCACTAGCATCACACATGATTTCAAAGGGTAAATTCCAATCAAGTGGCCGAACGGTAGGTGCAGAAATCAAAGCTTTCTTAAGTACTTCAAATGCTTCCACACAATCATCATCAAAGACAAAAAGAATATCTTTTTTGTAATAGATTAGTCAGAGGCCGGGAAATTTTTGAGAAGTCCTTAATGAACCTCCTGTAAAAACCAGCATGACCAAGGAAACTTCTTATACCTTTAATGTCCTTGGGACATGACATCTTTTCAATAGCATCAACTTTAGCTTTATCCACTTCAATATCTCTTTCAGAAATTTTATGCCCCAAGATAATTCCTTCATTAACCATAAAGTGGCACTTCTCCCAATTCAAGACAAGGTTAGTTTCTTCACATCTCTGCAAAACTCGATCAAGGTTGCTCAAGCAATCATCAAAAGAGGATCCATAAACGGAGAAATTATCCATGAAAACCTCACAAATCTTTTAACAAAAGTTAGAGAATATAGCCATCATGCATTGAAAGGTAGCAGGTGCATTACATAGACCAAAAGGCATACGTCTATAAGCAAAAGTACCGAAAGGGCAAGTAAAAGTGGTCTTTGTTTGATCATCAGCTGACACAAGTATTTGAGAGAAACCAGAGTAACCATCTAATAATTCTTTGTGGGATCAATTCATCTTTATCATTAGGTACGACAGTAATGCCTCCCTTCTTAGGGACACAATGGACAGGACTTACCCACTAACTATCAACAACGGGATAAATTATACCTGCCTCAAGGAGCTTTAATATTTCCTTTCTTACCACTTCTTTCATTTTAGGATTTAGCCGTCGTTGGTGATCAATAACTAGTTTGGAGTATTTCTCCAAATTTATTTTATGTTGATATAGAGTGGGACTAATGCCCTTAAGATCATCAAGAGTATATCCAATAGCAGCACGGTGCTTCTTCAGAGTTTTCAATAGTTTCTCTTCCTCCTTCTCTGAAATGTTAGCACTAATAATAACAGGATATATTTTCTTTTCATCAAGACAAGCATATTTAAGAGTATCAGGTAATGGTTTAACCTCAAACACGGGATCACCCTTGGGTGGAGGAGGATCCCCTAGAATTTCAACAGGCAAGTTGTGTTTCGGAATAGGTCCCTGTTTAAAGAATACTTCATCTATTTCTCTTCTTTCATTCATAAACATATCATTTTCATGGTCTAACAAATATTGTTCTAAAGGATCAGTACGAGGCACCGCAATAGAAGCAAGACCAATAATTTCATCTTTACTAAACAATTCTTTATCATGGGGTTGTCTACGAAACTTAGCAAAATTAAACTCATGAGACATATCCCCTAAACCAATAGAAACAATATCCTTATTGCAGTCTATCTTTGCATTAACATTATCCAAGAAGGGTCTACCAAATATAATGGGATAAAAGCTATCCTGTGGGGAACCAAGAACAAGAAAATCAGCAGAATATTTAACCTTCCCACACAAGACTTTAACATCTCTAGCAATCCCAGTCGGTGAAATAGTATCTCTATTGGCAAGCTTAATGGTAACATCGATATCTTCTATCTCAGCAGGTGCAATATCATGCATAATTTCTTCGTATAAAGAATGAGGTATTGCACTAGCACTAGCACCCATATCACACAAGCCATGATAATAATGATCTCCTATTTTAACAAAAATAACAGGCATGCCTACAACAGGTCTATGTTTATCTTTAGCACCAGGTTTAGCAATTCTAGCAGCTTCATCACAGAAGTAAATAACATGCCCATCAATATTATCAGCCAAGAGATCCTTAATCATAGCAATATTAGGTTCAACTTTAATTTGTTCAAGGTTTGGGTGTCTTAATATTGCTTTTGTTCACTACAGTTGAAGCTTTAGCATGATCCTTAATTCTAACAGGGAAAGGTGGTTTCTCAACATAAGCAGTAGGAACAACAGGATCATCATTAGTGATAGTCTTTTCTTCAACTTTAATAGGTGCAACTACTTTTGCTTCAATGGGAGGATTATATTTAAACCACTTCTCCTTAGGGAGATCAACATAAGTAGCAAATGATTCACAGAAAGAAGCTACTATGTCAGAGTCAAGCCCATATTTAGTGCTAAATTCACGGAAAGCATCGGTATCCATAAAAGATTTAACACAATCAAACTTAGGTGTTATACATGACTTTTTACCTTCGTCGAGGTCCCAATCTTCAGAGTTGCGTTTAATTCTTTCCAATAAATCCCATTTGAATTCAATAGTCTTCATCATAAAAGAACCAGTAAAAGAAGTATCGAGCATGGAGTGATTACTGGGAGAAAGCTGAGCATAAAAGTTTTGAATAATCATTTCTCTCGAGAGCTCATGATTGGGGCATGAATATAACATTGACTTAAGCCTCCCCCAAGCTTGAGCGATGCTTTCTCCTTCGCAAGGCCAAAAATTATATATATAATTACGATCACGATAAACGAGATGCATAGGATAAAACTTCTAATGAAATTTCAATTTCAATCGTTTGTAGTCCCATGATTTCATATCATCACATAGCCTATACCATGTCAATGCCTCTCCCTTCAAAGATAAAGGGAAGACCTTCTTCTTGATAACATCCTCGGGCATACCTGCAACCTTAAATAATCCATAAACTTCATCCACACAGATTAAGTGTAAATCAGGATGCAATGTTCCATCTCCTACAAAAGGATTAGCTAGCAGTTTCTCTATCATACCCAAAGGAATTTCAAAGTAGACATTTTCAATAGGTTCAGTAGGTTGAGGGGTAGCTGATTGTGGTTCCGGACGAGGTGAAGATACCCCGAACAAACCCCTCAAAGGATTATGTTTCATAGTAACAAGTGACAGTAAATTTTAGCACACTATATAATTTTTTCCTTATCAAATTCCACCTACCAAAGGCGCTTCACTCCCCGGCAACGGCGCCAAAAAAGAGTCTTGATGATACACAAGTATAGAGGATCTATCGTAGTCCTTTCGATAAGTAAGAGTGTCGAACCCAACGAGGAGCAGAAAGAAATGATAAGCGGTTTTCAGCAAAGTATTCTCTGCAAGCACTGGAATTATCGGTAACAGATAATTTTGTGATAAAATAATTTGTAACGGGTAGCAAGTAATGAAAGTAAATAAGGTGCAGCAAGATGGCCCAATCCTTTTTGTAACAAAGGACAAGCCTGGACAAACTCTTATATAGAGAAAGCGCTCCCGATGACATATGGGAATTATCATCATTGTTCACAAATTTAATAATAGTTCATGTTTTTTAATTTTGTTCACAAATTCAAAAAATGTTCTAGAAGTTTTAAAAATGTACACATTTTTATTTTTTGTTCACAAATTCAAGAAATGTTCCCCCTTTTCAAATTTGTTCACATAATCAAAATGTTTCTGATTTATAAAATTTGTACGAGAATTCGAAAAATGTTTTTATTTTGAAGAAAATATTTATAATTTCGAAAAATTCTGTTGTTGGAGGTCCTCGGTTCGACCCAATAAATGGACTGTAGTTTTTGGGACTTTTTGCGAATGAATGTTTAAGTTTTGTCTCTGTCGTATACGTCTTTAAATGTCGCGCTGATAATTGAGTATGAGGACAGCTACGTCGCAGTGGTTTGCACGGCAGTCCAGTTAGTTTGAAGTCGCGTGTTCAATTTACAGCGCTGGAGGTACTTTATTTTTTGCGATTTTTCATGTCGGGAACGTGCCGCCGCTTGCCGCTTTAAACGGGCCGGCCCACGCTAGCCGCTCCTGTGCGAAGCGCCGGCACTTTGCCGCAGCGAGCGCCCTATAGGAGCTCCCCCGGATCGAGCGGGACGAACCCTAGACCGGTCTGCCGCCGCCCATCCGTGCAGGACCTGGAGCTGCGCCGCCGCCGCTCTTCCAGGTCCAGGAGGGTCGCCGGCTCGCCGTCTGCCAGCCCAGCGACCCCGCCCGTCTGGCGACACCGCGTCCTCGCCTGCCCGCTGGTCCGGTGACCCCGTCCGCCCGCCCGCACGTCCTGGAGGTCTGCCGCCGCTCGTCTAGGAGAGCCACCGTCGCTGACTCACCGCGGACGCCGTCTGCCTGCCCGCGTACGCCAGTCCGCGATGAGGGTGAAGAGGCGATCGCGGCACCGCAAGGTGGTTAAGTTCTACTCCACCTGCTTCGGCTTCCGCGAGCCCTACAAGGTGCTCATCGATGGCACCTTCGTGCACCACCTCCTCGTCCACCAACTCCTCCCCGCCGACGACGCCCTCCGCGAGCTCCTCTCCGCGTCCAGGGCGCCCCCGCTCTTGACCTCCAAGTGCGTCGTCGCCGAGCTCAGGCGCCTCGGCAAGTCCCACTCCGAGGCGTTCGACGCTGCCCAACTCGTCGCCACCGCCAGGTCCCTCCTTCTCTTCCCTTCTCTTATCCATTTTTCTTTATTTCACAGCCTTACCACTCTAATCTATACATGCACTGGTCGCTGATGCAATTTTAAATGCGGATCTCTTTGTTCTGTCATATTGGTTACCTCATAGGTTCAATTTGACAATTTGTGTTTGGGCTATCTGAATACTTAGCTGGAATTAGTTGGGTCCCTGTGCGTTGCCACGGATAATTATATGTAGAAAACAAATGTATGTAAAACAAGGGCCCGGGAGCACGTGCTCCCGGGAACCGAATTGAATTTCTGCTCACTAATAGACTAAATAAGCACTAACTCTTATGAAGAAAAGAAAAATACATGGACAGTGGTGTTGCATGCCAAGTTGAGAATAAGTAGGTTTTGAAACCAATTAACTAGTGGAACTTCATTTCCAGCTTTGAAATAATGTAATGTGGCACTGGTTTGTTTGCTTCCATGCCTGACTGCAAATCATGTTCTGAAATTGGATCACATTGGTTTTGTTTTATCAGTTTGATTTGTATGAAATACTGCTACTACATTCAGTCAGGATAGTTTTACCCTTTTATGACTTGACGAGCTCGAGGCGGGGGCGTTGATAGTTTGTTCTCTGGACTTTTATTTGTGTGTTCAGCTGTGAGCATGACAAAGTGGTCAGTGCGGTGGACTGTATTCTGTCACTTGTTGGTGATAAGAATCCGGAGCACTACTTTGTTGCCACCCAGGATTCTGATCTCCGGGCAAAGCTACGGGAGGTATGAAGATTCACTGCACTTCTAGCATTCTGCTTTTATCATTTTATCACCTCGATTTTATTTGTGAAAGTATCTGCTCAGGGACACAATACAAGGCACAAACATAATAGCATCGACTTAAAAGAAATTACATAGCACTGATAACAGAATTTATATGCCATCTTAAAAACTGCTTTTGCACAATGAGCTCATATATGTTTTGCTTGGATGTAGCATTCTACTTTTACCTTATTTTTGTCACCGGAATGTTACTTGTGAAGGAATCTGCTCAGCAAACATGATACAATCGACAAGTATCATATCATCTACTTTACAGAAATGATATAGCCTAATGTATTAAGCCATCTTAGAAGCTACTTCTGCATTCAGTTTGCTCATGTATGTTTTGCTTGGGTACAGGTTCCTTGTGTTCCTGTGATATATGGTCTGAAGAACTCCCTGTTTATTGAGCAACCCTCTGTGCAGCAACGTCAGTTTGCTCAGTTGGATGAGGAGAAGCGTATACATATGGAAAAATCAGAATTTAAGAAGCTATTAAAGGCGTCATCTGAAGGAAAGACATCCGTCTGTGGAAACGCTCCCGGAGTGGCAGAGAAAAGCAAGTTTAAAAGAAACAGAGCAAAGGTTAATATTTACAGCTTCTGTTTTTCTGGACACTCCATTGTTAGGATCTAGTGGGCGTAATCAACATTTTGAGATCATGATGGCATCTCTGCTTCTTTAACAAAATGTTAATGTGTGTTGTGCTGCAGGGTCCAAACCCACTCTCTTGCAAGAAAAAGAAACCAAAGCCTCAACCATCAGCTGCTCAAAATCAGGTAATTAATCATCACTACACAGCATTATCACTTGACATCTGTATGGTATGTTTAATACTCGGAACACACTCACTATAAGTATCTGTGCAATTAATGTTGTAAAAGCAATGCTGTAGTTTCCTACGAATGAGAAATAATGTGACAATTAAATCTTATATACTCTTAGACAGTGACACTTGCATATTCGCTTTTGCTGATGCTTACACGGACATTTCATGGCAACAAGCACTGATGAGAACTTGCTTCTTTAGGGCCCGAAGACTGATGGCGAGGCAAAGCGAAAGAGGGTTCGGAAGCGGAAGAGAAGTGCCAAAGGCAGTAGTCAAGCAGAGACATGAAGCTGATGGACCTATGAAGAAGTTGCAAACAGCGGTTGGATGGTGTTTGATGGACCTACATAATCGTTAAAAAGCTTCATAAATCATGCATGACCGCTTAGAGGATTGTGGCTTGAATTTTTTGACAATGTAACACTTAATAGTTTGTTTGACCCTGTTTGGACCTGTATATCCTGTCCTAGTGATTTATATAAGTTTGTTCCAGGCTTTGCCCCTCCCTCGAGGGGGAAATCCCTCCAGTCTTTGTTACCAAATGGCAACAAAGGGAAGGGCGCAAAATCCCAAGCAATATAATATGGAAAATCGACAAATGACTTAGAAAACCCTTATTTATTTACTTTTGAAAAGAAGGCACACAAAGGCATCTTAGATTTGATTAATATTAAGGAAAACTGCCCCTGCAAAAATATATTAAGAAAAGTTGAAGTTAGCACAAATGATAGATAGCTAGCGCTACTGAACCATAGCTCACGATACCAGGTTCTGAAGAAACACAATAGCCACTTGCCCCTTGAGATGAGATCTAGAGATCGCTGAAGCAACATTGGTTGGAGCATTACCCCACACAATACATGCTTGCAATCCATCACCATTAGTTTAGAGGGCTGAACAAATCAAACCATGCAGCAGAACAATATGGAAGAAAGTCTCTCAAATCATTTTCCTATCATGAGGCAACAAGGCGTTCGACCATTGAACCATAGTCGCCACCCATCATCTACCCCTCTTGTCGCGGCAGGGCACCTCGCGAGGCAAAGCCCATGTGACGCCGACGACGTCGATGAGGTCCGAATCGAGGGGCCTGTTGTGGAAGCGCTGGAGGTTTGATGCGGGATGACGAAGGATATATGTGCTCGAGCAGCGACCTTCTTAGGGGTGCACAAGGCGGTGTTGGTGAAGCCGGTGGTGGCCAGAGGGACTCGATGCAAAATCTTAATCTTCACCGGTTGTCCGACCTGGCTGGACCATCCGAGAAGAGGACGTTCGTGCACGGTTATGGATAGTGGAGGACTCGACATCAGACTTGGGCCTGTCGTACAACTAGATGGGTGGATTTTTAGGTTTTCTTTAGGGAGTCTTTATATTTGGTTTGGGGCAGCGAAGCGGCGGCGTTGCCTCAAGGTAGGAATAATGTTCTCCTCACCCTACCCCCGTTCCGTTGGTGTGATTTTCACCGACGGAGGGCGTGTGGAGCTGTCTCTTCCGTGGGTCTCCTAGGACTAGTTGGTTAAGATTTTTGGTGGATCTGACCGGATTCGGATGACTTTTGCGGTGTACATGGTCTTCGAAGTTTCTATAGGTGCTTATAGGTGTTTCTCTTCGATGGTCTTTTTCTTCACAGATCGCGGCTGCTGGCATCTCCTGTCTAGCTGAAAATTTAGGTCCAATAATCATTAAATTTTTTAAACTAGCATATTGCAGTGATGAAGAGATGTCCTTAACGAAAGCTACGACACCGATATACAAAGTTGTGCCTGAGGTTTATGTTCATTTGTAATTTTTATTTAGGCACAATTGTTTCAAACTAGAGTATTATTTATTTTTGCTTTGACTCTTGTGCTTAGATTTAGAAGTAAGCCGTGATTTTTTTACGTGTTTAGAAAAATTGGGTCTTTAATGTTAGGATGGCCCATGGGGTTGTTGGAGATATGTCCTAGAGGCAATAATGTATGATAATATTTTATATGTGTTTATTAATAAAGATAGTCTTTGGACATTATTAATGATGTGTATCAACGAGTACGTGACTTATTTGTGGGACTATGCATTGTATAATGACTGTCCTAAAAGATCCCTAGTCGAAAGGGCTGCATGAACGCGCAACCGACTAGACTGACATGTGACACGGTGGATGGTTTGGTCTCGCTGGCCATGGAGCATTGGATGCTAGCCATATAATATGGACTCGGAAGGATCTGGTCGGATTCGATATAGTCGGATATGAGTCGAGGTGAGATCCGAGTCGGACATACCCGACTATGAGATGAACCGATAGGTAATGTGGGAGTCTCTAGTATAACATATGTTCTATGTCATAAGACCTGAGCTGGTGCATGTACTTGGGATGGTGAGAGACCTGCTTTGGGCCGACCAAACACTACTCTGTGACTGGGTAGTTATAAAGGTAGATTTCAGGCTTTGTCCAGACCCATGCTGCGAGACATGGTCGGGCAAGATGAGATTTGCCCCTTTGATCAAGAGAGATATACTCTGAGCCCCTTGTGTGATCCAACCAAGATAAGCATGGCACAAGGATGACAGACTCGCCTTGAGCCCGACAACATATATCGTGTGGCAAAGGAAACATAAGTGTGACATTTTGTACAAGTTCACCAACTGGCTTCATTGTCTACTTGGTGGTTGGCATGCCTTACTAGAGGCCGCTACCAGCCGAGTAGGTCAAAGGTGATCTGAACTGCGACCAAGACGACTTGAACCTAAGGGGTCTCACGCTTAAGGGAAGGAACCTGTGAGGCTGGATCTGACTCCACGAGCCAGGTGTGATCCTACTCGGACTCGGATCCAGACCGAACATAATTTGGGCTTTAGGATCCGTGCGAGGCCCAAGTGTTGAGCCCGCGACAGATTCCTATATATAATGGAGGTGCGGCACACTCATTTGGTTGATCACTTCAGCGCCGTCACTAGGGCTTTGCATGTGTTGCAAGTAGCCACCACCACTCGCCGTCGGCTGTGTGATCGGACCTAGTAGTCCACCACATGGTGTTCCTCCTGCACGCGTGGATACCGTTAGAGGCGGTGCACTTGGACGAACCGGATTGTGGGATCTGATTGGCTACGTGGGAGATCGACGAGGAGGAGACGACTCCGAAGACGCGCTGGCCCAACTCTACTTCCGCTGCACAGACTACGTGTCTAGTGGTAAGAGCATCTCCACACGTTCGCCCCCCAGCGCATAGGCCGGCGCTCTTCCGGGCGCTCGCTCGACGCTATTTAGGCCCTGGGGGCGATCTAGGTCCCAGCCACGCCCCCAGGTGCCGCCCCAAGGCACCGCAAATTCAAACTTGGTCCATTCTCGCTCCCAAAAAACGCCACAAGTCCGGCGATCAGCGCCCCGGTTTGGCGATCACCTTGCCATAGTTCGGCGACCAAATGAAAAGTTCGGCGAACCCGAAGAAATGACGCGTAGGCAACGCATCAAACGGCGGTGTCGACCTCCGGCATCGGGTAGTCGGCATGTGCGAGCTGGGCGGCATCGGCGCGGCTTCTGTGCTGGGCGGCATCGGCGCGGTTTCTGTGCTGCTGGGCGTCGTGGAGGCATCATCGTGTTGGGGAACGTAGTAATTTCAAAAAATTCCTACGCATACACATGATCATGGTGATGCATAGTAATGAGAGGGGAGAGTGTGTCCATGTACCCTCGTAGACCGACTGCGGAAGCGTTAGCACAACGCGGTTGATGTAGTCGTACGTCTTCATGATCCGACCGATCCAAGTATCGAATGCACGGCACCTCCGAGTTCTGCACACATTCAACTCGATGACGTCCCGCGAGCTCCGATCCAGCAAAGCTTCACAGGAGAGTTTCGTCAGCACGACGGCGTGGGGGACGGTGATGATGATGCTACCGATGCAGGGCTTCACCTAAGCACCGCTACGATATGATCGACGTGGATTATGGTGGAGGGGGCACCGCACACGGCTAAGAGATCAATGATCAATTGTTGTGTCTCCAAGGGGTGCCCCTCTCCCCGTATATAAAGGAGTGGAGGAGGGAGAGGGCCGGCCCTCTCTATGGCGCGCCCTAGGGGAGTCCTATTCCCACCGGGAGTAGGATTCCCCCTTTCCTAGTAGAACTAGGAGCCCTTCCAAGTAGTAGGAGTAGGAGAGAAGGAAAGGGAAAAGAGAAGAGAAGGAAGGAGGGGGCGCCGCCCCTCCCCCTAGTCCAATTCGGACTAGGCCTTGGGGGGGCGCGCAACCTCTCCTCTCTCTTTTCCCTAAAGCCCAATAAGGCCCATCTACTCCCCGCGAATTCCTGTAACTCTCTAGTACTCCGAAAAATACCCGAATCACTTGGAACCTTTCCGATGTCCGAATATAGTCGTCCAATATATCGATCTTTACGTCTCGACCATTTCGAGACTCCTCGTCATGTCCCCAATCTCATCCGGGACTCCGAACTACCTTCGGTACATCAAAACACAAAAACTCATAATACCGATCGTTACCGAACTTTAAGCGTGCGGACCCTACGGGTTCGAGAACTATGTAGACATGACCGAGACACGTCTCCGCTCAATAACCAATAGCGGAACCTGGATGCTCATATTGGCTCCCACATATTCTACGAAGAACTTTATTGGTCAAACCGCATAACAACATACGTTGTTCCCTTTGTCATCGGTATGTTACTTGCCTGAGATTCGATCATCGGCATCTCAATACCTAGTTCAATCTCTTTACCGGTGTAACACCCACAATGCGGCTATATCTCCCCCGTGTCGGGGCACGACTTAGAGGCATAGCCGCATGGTAGGTTTGTCGCAAGAGGGGTAATCTTCACACAATCCCATTTACTGAATAAGAAAGGGTTAAAGAGTTGGCTTACAATCGCCACTTCACAAAAATACAAGTTAAGCATACATCATCCAGAATACAATCAAGGTCCGACTATGGAATTAAAATAAAAGAAGACAACCCCAAATGCTAGATCCCCGTTCGTCCCGACCGGGCTCCACTACTGATCAACTGGAAACGAAACAACACAACGAACACGATCTTCATCGAGCTCCCACTTGAGCTGGGTTGCGTCATCTGCACTGGTATCATCGACACCTGCAACTGTTGGAAGTATCTGTGAGTCACGAGGACTCAACAATCTCACACCCGCGAGATAAAGACTATTTAAGCTTATGGGTAGGAAAGGGGTAATGAGGTGGAGCTGCAGCAAGCACTAAGCATATATGGTGGCTAACATACGCAAATAAGAGCGAGAAGAGAAGGAAAGCACGGTCGTGAACTAGAAGTGATCAAGAAGTGATCCTGAAACTACTTACGTTCAAGCATAACACAAGAACCGTGTTCACTTCCCGGACTCCGCCGAAAGAGACCATCATGGCTACACACGCGGTTGATTCATTTTAATTAAGTTAAGTGTCAAGTTCTCTACAACTGGATATTAACAAATTTGCATCTGCCCATAACCGCGGGCACGGCTTTCGAAAGTTCAAAACCCTGCAGGGTGTCCCAACTTAGCCCATCACAAGCTCTCACGGTCAAAGAAGGATATTCCTTCTCCTAGGAAGACCCGATCAGACTCGGAATCCCGGTTACAAGACATTTCGACAATGGTAAAACAAGACCAGCAAGACCGCCCGATGCGCCGACATACTGATAGGAGCTGCACATATCTCGTTCTCAGGGCAACACCGGATGAACACTACGTACAGCTAAAAACCAACCCTCAAGTTTCCCCAAGGTGGCGCCGCAAGTGGCTCTGGTTCGGACCAACACTTACACAACCACTGGCCCGGGGGGGTGTTAAAATAAAGATGACCCTTGAGTTTGCAGAACCCAAGGGAAGGTGACAGGTTGTTAGGCAAATGTAAAACCAAAGTTGGGCCTTGCTGGAGGAGTTTTATTCAAAGCAAACTGTCAAGGGGTTCCCATAACACCCAACCGCGTAAGGGACGCAAAATCAAGGAACATAACACCGGCATGACGGAAACCGGGCGGCAAGAGTGGAACAAAACACCAGGCATAAGGCCGAGCCTTCCACCCTTTACCAAGTATATATATGCATTAAAGTAAATAAGAGATAATAATGATATCCCAAAAAAAAATCCATGTTCCAACATGGAACAAACTCCATCTTCACCTGCAACTATCAATGCTATAAGAGGGGCTGAGCAAAGCGGTAACATAGCCAAACAACAGTTTGCTAGGAAAGGTGGGTTAGAGGCTTGACATGGCACTATGGGAGGCATGATATAGCAAGTGGTAGGTATCACAACATAGCAATAGAGCGAACAACTAGCAAGCA